GGCATAGGACTTGGATATTCCTGCGCGTCATCAGATCAGCAACCTCTCGGGACTTCCCAGTTAGCGATCCTACGTTCAGAGTCCCAATTCGAACTAGCTTCTTTGGCCGAGGCCGTTCACTCCTCGGTAGCCCTCGCATACTGACCACAGAACTCGGGCGGGGGTTCTGCGCGCCACTTCCGGGTGACGTCCTAGCTTTATCACTGATTCTTTTGCGACTTTAGACATATTTGGTGTGACTGGGGTCTTCATCAGCCGGCCTGTCAACCTGGGCCTGACGCTGGTACTAGAACCATTTTTGCAATTTTTGCAAGGCATGGTTAACCTCGGCAGGGATCGAACTCGCGGTTTTCAGAGGTGCAGACATGAGTCTAACCTCTTAACCACTCGGCTATCCCTGCCTTTTAGGAGGATATAAGGTACATTGATAGAGATTCGTCGAATAGAATGGTGAAAACGAAGCGGACAGGAGCTGCAGGGCTGTGTAGTTCAGTGAAATTGGTACTTGCAGAACAACCACTGAGCCTTTTGCTTTTTGCACGTGGTGCTTCTCCATGCTTTTCCACCACCGGGCCTTTTCGAGCCTTCTATGAGCCTCTCCACACCAGCTGGTTTCAATGAGTACGTAAAAGAATACGTAAAGAAAAGCAGAATCCCTTAGGAAGCCTCTCAGAACCATAGAAAAAATCGAAAGAATAGCTCTTACCGGGGTTTCGATGTTGCCGAGATCACCGACGTGGCGGTTCGAGTCATCAGGAGCTCCATGCATCATTTTGTGTGGGTTGAAATGTCCACCCGCTGCCACACAACCATCACCCAAATCGCCTTTCTCATGGATGTGGAAGCCATGAAGACCTGGTTTCAGGCCGGATACGGTACCGTTCAGCTGAAAAAAAAAAGATATTAGCCACCCTAGTACCTTTAAATTTAAAGACCTAGGACCTTTAAATTCGAAGACCCAATTTAAAGAATTGCTCACCTTGACAAGAGTTCCGCTCTGGGTGAGATCTATAATTCCAATCACGTTCTTCGGATTGCCTCCTTTCACCGCTTGGAAAATGTACGTACGGGCTTTCAGCACTGAAAATC